ACCTCTAAAATAAAATAAAGAATAAAATCAAACAATAAAATCTTGATATACCTAATGATCTCTGCGACAGTGAAGCTTTTCTTTTTACTCAACGGTCTACAAGCCTCAATTCTTACTACGTCACCTAATGCACAAAGTTCTTTTTCATCATGTGCAAAGAAGTTTTTGTGTCTCGTTATAATCTAATGTACATTTATATTTAGTTTACTAAAATTACTAAATGTAAAATGCTATTAACGTGTATGACCCTATGGCAGTAAAATATCACATAATTCGATTACCTTGCGAACTATGGGATGAACGAATTGTCTCGCAACTCGTACTTTAACAGTTTTTTGCATTGCAGTACCTATTACAATTCCAAATAAATTTTGTCGGCCCATTTTTTACTTACGGGAAAAGCTCAAATATACGCGAATATTTAAGAATTGATTGAAAAAAAAATTTTACAATTTGATTGGCTGATCTACTTCGTATATATATACACAAATTTTGAAATTCTATAGCTCTCGGGTAAAATCATGAAACTTACACCAGAGCTTATTGAACGTTCACTCAGTTATATTAATTCCGTAAAGGATCGTGAACTAGATTTACGGGGTATCCTTTAGATAGTTATTGACCGTTTGAAGTTTCGTGTTAAAGTGTATAGATAGAAGGGAAACTCGAATTTTCTCGGTAGAAAGCCAACTCTATGAAACGTTGGAACAAAGTGCTATACAAGGGTATTCTTCATGTATTTGATAGATTTGTTTGGAAGAAAGTGTCAAAATAAAATGAAAGTATTATCAGCGACGCAAAGTTACATTATTTTTGCAACGACCTACTCTATTTCTTTTTTTTTTTTTTTTTTTTCACAACACATTCCTATTATTCCCTGACTCGAGTTTTGCTCTCCCTCCTTTTGCTTTTCGCACTATCATTAAATAGGCAATAAAATTCCTGCCATAGAAAATCTTGGTGTCACCAAGGTGAGCAAGTCTTTGTGTTTAGATAAACCAAAATTATTTTATTTTATAACTTAATCTAGTTGAGAACCATTTATGTAGGATCTAAATGATACAATAGATCTAACGGATAATGATATTCGTGTCTTGGGAAATTTTCCACTTTTACGTCGTGTTAGAAGCTTGTTACTAGCAAACAATCGTATTACCCGTATTGATCCACAAATAGCCGAATTCATTCCAAATTTAACTACTTTGGTTCTTACAAATAACAACATAACTGAAATATCGGATCTAGAACCTCTGAGTGAGTGTAAAAGGTTACAATATATGAGTTTGTTGGATAACCCCGTAACACGGAAACAGTGGTATAGGAGTTGGGTCATTTGGAAAATATCGAGTGTGAGAGTGTTAGACTTTAAAAGAGTGCGAGATGTGGTATGAAATTAAAGAGTATATTCCATTTCTATATAGATTATTGTATTGGATTAAAAATTAAGTTTTTCTATAAGGAACGTAAAGAAGCCAAACAATTATTTGAAACAGCGAAAGGCGAACCCACTTCACTTGCTAGATCTATTTCAGAGACCATATCTAAAACTTTTGAACCTGGTGAAGGAATGGCTGCAGCAGGAGGCGCGAATTTACCAAAATCTAACTTACCTACACTTGGAATGTCAATAGAGGAACAAGCAAAAATTAGAGTTAGTACTGATTATCTGCTTTTAAATATTTAAAATCTAAATAAAATCATCGTCCAATAAAGGTAAAACATCTAATCTATATTTTATTCGAATTCACTTATTTAGGAAGCAATTCGAAATGCCAAAACCCTTGAGGAAGTTTCGCGTCTCGAGACATTATTGCAATCTGGACATATTCCTGGCACAGGAAGACAACCTGGTGATTTCGAACAAGACGAAGAAATGGAAGAATAAAGGATACAAAAATGCCTTATGATTTATCTTAAAGAGTTTAATGGAACCTTTACTTTTTTTCTTTTTTTTAATAGATTTATTTTAATAAAAATATCGTAAAGATCCCAAATGTATAAGACTATTGGGATTAATATATGAGATCAATTATTAGTATTAGAGCTTCTAAAGATAAAATTGCTATTGTTTACAAAATTTTCTTTAGAGATATTATATATACAAGGTGTATTCAGAGATATTATTATTATTTTTTTTTGTTACACGACCTAAAGTCGCGTGGTAACCCTTTATAAAAACAGTAGGTTTACCGATTCACTTCGGGTCTACAAAAGTCTTCCGGTATCTTTGAATTTTTATTAGTAAAATATGTATTTATACTATGATTCGTTTATTATAACCTAAATATTTAGTGCATCAACGTTCAATTACAACAAACTATCTTCTCTGTCAATAGATAAGACATAACGGTCAAACTATTTAATCTAACTCGCATCTAACAACCCCTGTAGCCCAAGGGGACCCAAGAAACAACACTTTCCTACCGCTATCACCAGCTGCCACAGAAATTGCATGAAACAAAGTGCCATCATCTTCAAATATTTTCTCTTTTGCGTATTTAACTCCATAAAACTTATCTTCACCAGTGTTATTGCTAATTTTAAATACACTGAATGAAGGTTTTATGTCCTTTGAACCACTCAAACATGAATGAAATTCTGTTGCACTGTACGCCACTATTTATTATATATTGTATGAGATTACTTTGAAAATCAACGTTCGCGTCTACTACAAGTAATTCACAATACAGTAACCGATACATACCTGCAAGATAAATTTCTCCAGTCACTGGATCCACATTAACGTTGTCGATAGAATACTCAACATTAACAGCGTCTAACAGCTTCAATTTGTTATCGGGCTTTCTTTCATAGATTAAAAGTTCTCCAGTACCAGTAGTTGCAATAAAAACGCGTGAATAGTCCCAGTTCACGTCAATTCCATTTGCAAAAATTAATCTGTCAACAACTATTTCCGTAGTATTTGTTTTTGAGGAATGGAAGACAACGTTACTCCATCTACGACGTGTTTTAACTATTTTGAATTATATTGGATTATTATTAGTATAATTTCATTAATTCCTATTTAGGAATTTGATTATGATAGGTACTTTCAAATTGCAGTTTCCAAGACAATCGATAATATCGATCATTCGTTGCATAAAATTCATCCTTTGACACTGGAGCAACACTATTAGGACTATGTATCAAATCATGTTTAAATGTTTTTAAATGATATAATTCGAATGAGTTTATTTTATGTTTGAATAACTCAATCACGCTTCCAGTGCGTTTGTGATTTATAAGAAAGAAATAAAGATTATCAGGTTCAGTAGGATCTTCGTACATCCCAAAACCATGAAGTGAAAAGTCTTCTTCATCAGCAAAGTTTTTAAGAGTGAGAGGAGTTAGCTTATCTGTCTAATAACGCGAATTATATAGTATATAATTTATTATGAAAATAAATATTAATATAAACGTGTAATTTGAAATTAATAACTGATAATACTTCGATATTATAGACGTAAAAGGTCTCCCTTGGCTGAAAACTATAATTGTTGTATACATTAAGTGGTGGCCACCATTGGGTTTTACGACTCTTTTCGTCTCCACATGTAAAGTAAGCGAGCCCAGACGTATGATGTATTTTAATATCTTCACAAAGCTCTTGCTTTAGACCTAAATCGTGTATTATTGAAGGAGTAAATTAAAATTTAAAACATACGGGTAATATGACGATAAAAAAATTATAACTTTGGCATACCTTCGAGATATCGACATTTTCCACCAGTATATTTTTGAGCGGGTCCTCGATAATACCCACTTAATACTACTAAATCTTTATATAATGTATATACATACGCTATGAGTACAATCAAAATCGTTAAAATAACCGTATATGTTTTTTCCATATTTTATTAGGTTGCGAAAAAAAGTGAGTTTTCAACTTTTTATTTATTCAATTATCGTTATGCAACGAATAGGAACTATAGAACACTGAAAGCAAAATTAGAAGATGCGTGTTGGAATTGATAATGGTACGCCATAAATCCAAGTAGTGTGGGAAAGTTAGTAATTGCGCATAATGCAGGTTTTCGTTAATTTTCACATGTTAGCATTTATTAGCACCGGCCGGTCCGATTATCGGACAGTCCGGGTAATTTATTATATATATCTCGGTTAACCACATTAACAATTTTTACCCTTAATCTGGAGAAAGCATGGCGGGCATTCGATTTGATTGGCCTGAATTACACAACATAATTTTTTTTATAGGAAACCTTACTATGAAAGAAATCTAAAAAACATCAAAATTAGAGATGAAAACCACATCAGTCAGTGGCAACTTGTGGTTTCACATAATAAAGGTTTAAAAACCATTTTCATTATTCATCAAATCTGAGTCACTTAAGTAATTTACAAGTTATAATTTCAAAGAACCAACCAATTAAAAAAATACATCGCCGATTATTAGTCTTTGAAAATTTCTGAAAGTTTTTTTAAAAATTGGATCTTCTCGACGAATACGTGAGTTAAATTTCTCAAAAAAAAAAAAAAAAGAAAGCGTAATTTTGTATGCCTTATCTAGGACTATAAAGTTACAATTTTGGATGTCTTTAGATTATTTGCACCATAGAGAACAATTTTAAACGATCATACCCTATAAAAAATTAAACATATGGG